CAAAATTAATATCATCTTGATACAAATCTGTAACTAATCTTATCATATATACAGCAAATTCAAAATAAAAAAAAAATTAAAAAAATAAAATAGCTATTTTTTCATATTGATTAGAAATTTGTTAAAAATTTATTATTTATTAAAATTTTACTAATTGTATACAGAGTATTTGAAATACAGATATAATTTATAATTAATTTTTATTAATTAGTAATTTGCTAGTCAATCAGAGAAGAACTGCAAATATTTATAAGTAAATTTTACTATTAAGCTAAATGTGGAGTGCACCAATCTAAAACATTTTTTCTTACTAAATAAATTACTCTTGGGCTTATAACAAAAGTTGTAGAGCTCATCAAAATGTATTTAATAATAGTAAGAACATTAAAATTGACTAGTAGTTCTTGAGAAATCTTTAAAAATGGTTTGCTAATATATAAAATTTCTTTAAAAAAAATCAATTTTTTTTAAAGAAATATTTTCTCTGGTTGACTAGTAAATCACTAATTAAAATATAAGTAAACAATGATGATTTTAATTAATATTAAAGTTAAAAATAGATGTTAGAGCTAGTAAAAAGCATAGTTTATAGTAAATTTTTGCAAAAAATTATTTTTAGAGCCTAAAAAATGATTTTATAATTAAAATTTTAAAATATTACTAATTTTCATTTTTTTCTTAATTGTTGTTATACAAAAAAAATAATCTGTATACATTTAATTTAATTTAATTTTTTTCATCAGCAATCTTGGTTATTTCATTATAGAAACAGATATTCATTCTTACAAATAAAGAAATCTATATTTATATAATGTTTTAACCAGAATATAAACTCACACAGTTTACTTTGCAGATGCTATAACACCTACTTGCGGTCAAAATAAACACTTAAAATATTGTATTATACTTAGATGTGACCCATTTAGCAAACACTTGACCTTCTTTGAGAACCTAAAACTTACTTCAGACTCTTTCCAAACTCTTTAGCTAACTGTTGCATACCCCATTAAGATTCTTGCCTTACAATAAAATATCGCTAAATTGATAATACTTTTTTATAGAGAAGGATAAAAGAAAAAAAAAAGAAAGTAAAAAATGAAAAAAGAGAAAATAATAAAAATTAAGATATCAAAGAAAATGGATACTAAAAATAAAGAATAAAAATCTATACTTAAATCTAAAAAAAACTATTACTAGAATGAAAAAAACCTGCTAACTAGATGAAAACTTTTAACTATACAAAATAACAAACTATTAAGTGCGAGAGTTTTAACTGTACTATAACTCATGCTAAAGTTTAAAAATTATTGTAGTGTACTAACTAAAATATCCAGAGTTCAATACAATTTAACCAAAAAAACTTATAAAGTACCCATGGGTATTTTAATCGGTGATGGATATTTTGTTAGGGAAGATATTTTGCTAGAGGGGGTATTTTATATGGGGTATTATATATAACATATTTTAAGTAATACAATATGATATAAAAAAAAATAAATGAACATCTTGCATAATTTAAAAATAAAATTTTTTTTTCATATCCATATTGAAACAAAGTAAAATAATGAAATATTGTCACTATATAGCTTATATTAAAATATGACAAAAAAATTTTTTTATTATTAGAGTGCCTTTACAAAAAGCTACTTTAACCAACTTGGTTCAGAAAGAGGCAAGGCATAGGCAGAAGCACTTTGCAATAATACTATCACCGGCAATAAATATGAAGCTATAATGATAACAATAATATTATTATTAGTAAAACCTTAATAGAAGCAAGCTTAATAAAAGTATCAAACTATATAAAAAAAGGATAGTTCATAGAAATTTTAAATCTTGACATGCTCGAGTGACAAAAAAGAACAAAAAAACATGGTCTGCGTACAAAAAACTAATAATAATCATATATCATGAGAAAAAGCATAGCAAACGTTCAACTGTTAATAAATTTCAGATAGAACCAAAACAACTTTGGTAATAGTTAAGCAAAAATCAGACCTTATAAAAGCAGCACCTTATATTCAAAAGTTGTCACATGGAGCTTGACCAAAGTATCTAAAGCTTGAAGCTAAATTAATTGAATGGTTTCAAAATTTTAGATAGAACTGTGCTACAAAGTTACAATCTTACAATACATAAATTTTAGTAAATCAAATTAAGCTAGCTGTATGAAAGTTTAGCATACATTATTATACCATTTTTTATTCAATTACATAAAACAAAACTTACTGCAAAATTATATTAATTACAAAAAACTATAATAATTTAACAATCCTAATCTTAGGTTTCAGCAAAAAGTTGTAAGCCAGTATATGATTCAAGCTAAAGCCCACATTCTGTATGCTACATCATGTTATCAAAATATTTATAGGGGCTGCAAAGTAATAAGTTTTTACAAAAGTGGGTAGATAGCTTTATGTCTAAAAATAATTTAGTAAACAAAAGACAAACTACCATTGCTCAATGCCTTTCCAAGAGTTATATTGAGGATCAAAATGAATTTTTATCTCTTATGCTCTTTAAACAGTATAAATACGATTATCTTTTATTTTTAATCAATAATATAGATGAAACTGCTGTGGCTTTTAGCATGTTAAGCACCACTACAATCAAAGAAAAAGACACCAAGACTATATTAGTTTTGTCAACCAGGAATGAACGTTTGACTTTTACAGTTGTCTTGGCCTGTTTGGCTATTAATAATTTTTAAATTAACTAAGGTACCTTGTAAGGAATTTTTTGATAGCATTATTATATGTATGAACTCTTCGAGATGGATGAATAAAGATGAAATGTTGTGGTAGATGTAATAATAATTGTATTATTAATTATTGCAGCATTATTTTTTTTAGCTTTTATTTATTGTTCTGGATTAAGATTCAAATGAAATTTTGTATAGTATAAAATTGACAAGTCACTAAAAAATATAAAATTTTGAGATAAATTTTTTAGTTTTTTTTTTATTTAAGCATTAGGAGTCAGCTTTAAGGGTAAAATTTATATTAAACAAGTATAAGTAGTTTTAGAAAATTAAATAGAAACTCCAAATTTCACTTTAATCTGATTTCATTATGATCTGTGATATTTATTGCATATTTAATTTGTCATTTCTAGGTGGGTGGAGAATGTTTGGGCACGACAAGCATGATTTGAAAATAATCCATATTCTTTGTTAATCTTGGATTTATTCACTAGCCACAAAACTGACTCTGTAAAACAGTGTTTTGAAAAAAAAAACACTGACTTGGCTTTAATTCCTAGTGGTCTAACATCTCGTTTACAACTCCTTAACATATTTATAAATAAACTGTTTAAATCAAAGGTAAAATTAAGTAATATTAGAGTGAATACTATAATGATATTAGTGAATACTATACTGATATTAGAGAATTATACTTTCTAATTATATTTAAGTTTTTCTTACATCTAACAATCTAATTTTTTTAAACTCTTTTTTTTTTTTTTTTTTTTTAAAAAAAAAATTATTTTAAATTAGTATTTTTTTTATTTTTTATTTTTTTCTAATAAAAAAAAATTAAATTTTTTATTTTTTTTTTTTTTTTTTTTTTTTTTTAAAAAAAAAAAAAAAAAAAAACTTTTAAAAGATACAAATTCTTTATAATCAATAAATGGACAAAGGAATTAAAGAATATACTAAAACTAGCAAGATAAAATATTTTTTATACCTTTTGGTTGCTACTTGGGTAAAAGAGGCTTGAGAAGCTATTGATATTAATCTGATCAGAAAGTTCTTCAAGTGTTGTGAGATTTTCAATACGATAGATAGAACTAAAGATGATCTAATTTTTGACTTCATGAAAGTTACGAATGAAACAAACCCGAGAAGAGAAATTGAAGATCAAGAAGAATTGAATGAAGAGGAGAAAGAGGAAGATAATGAAAACATGAATGCAAATGAAGGTGGATTGGTTTATGATGATTATTATGAAGAAGGTGAAGACTTAACAGTCACTCAAGATTAGAATTAATAGAACTTTACTACCACAACCTAATGATTTAATGCTAGATAGTTGCTTATTTAGCATTTAAATTTTAGTAGCAAATTTTATAAATTGCAAGCAAAAAAAATTTTTTTTTGTTTAAATAATCAAAATTTTACAATCATTGAATAAAGCAAAAGGATAGACATATGAAAATAAGAACATCAATGAATATAATTAAAAGTTTACTTTAAAGCTACAGAATACAAATATGTATTCAAATAGATTCCTTTCAATAGATTAGACAATATTCAAAAGGTTGATAATAAATTTTAGTAATTTAGTTAGATAAAGCCTGATATATGAATATGTATATTTATATATATATTATTATATAAAGTTGAGCTTAAAATTTTATATAGTTTTCCAAATTCATTATATTTAGTAAGTTAAAATTTGGTTATTATGATATATTTGCTTAATCAAGATTATACATTTATAATTTAAATTTATAAGATTTTAATCTATCAGAAAATAGAGAACTTAAAGCACAAGTATATGGACTAACTTAAAACATTGCAACTGATTTAATATATCTTTTGTTAGTATAAACATGTAGCTCTTAAAAAACACAAGTGAAAATTAATTGTATTAAAAAATTTCTACTTAAAGCTACCGAATATGAAGATATTATCAAATAAGTCATGTTCAATTATTACCTATTCTATTAGGTGTCTTACAACTATAATTTAATTTTATTTAAATTATTAGACCATTTTTGTAGAGTTGAATTTATGTGTCATTTTACTGATTCAACAAGGCATACAGAAGTTTTAGGATAATACCTTTATTGTAAAATCAGTATCAAATTTTAAAAATTGAAAAATTTTAAAACTTAAAATTCCTATTATAAAGCGAAAAAATTAATAAATAACTCAAGCAAAACAATTTAATCATAATTATTATATCTATTATATGCATTTTTATTAAATACATAATTAATTGGTTTAATGTTTCTTGTAATTTAATTCATGATAATTTTATTGCTGTATATATAAAATGTTAATAAAACATTGCGTCTCGAAATAATAAGTATATATACAAATAAATGTAGCTGTAGATAAACAAATTACATAATTAGATGCAAGTAAACAAGATAGATTATATAATAAATGCAATTAATCAAATACCACAATACAAAATACTATTATAATCATAATGATCACTCTTTCCATCAATCACTTACACAAAACTTAACTAAAAATTTGCCAGTACAAAATTTTTAATAACACAATATTTTACTAAGATAACTGCTCTTAACAT